ACACTGAGAAATGTGTTCTCTTTTTACTGATAGTTTAAAGCTAAGTTGAACAGTAGTTCTGATGTATATGCTTCTCAGAGAAGTAGCAAAGTGTCTCCAAGTTAGCTTGTGCAGCATGACGGAAATTTTCCTGTGCTGGAAGGCAAAGGACAATCAAGAAGTCTTGATTGTGGCCACTGGTATCTAGTAACTGTGAATCAGCCAGGATGGGAAAGCACTTTTTATTTATTTTTCCTCCCTTCTTAGTCATAGCTTTGGTGAAGAAGTGAGGATACTTACAGTTTCCAAACTAATTTTATTACTACCAAATATTAAACTTTTTTGAGATGGAAATCAAATTTTCAGTTTGGAAATGGAATGAAACTCTTTAGCATTGTTATCCCTCTCTTCCCACCGAACACTGAAAAATTATGGCTTTAAGCTCTCCCTTGGGCAATGAAAAGGAATTGGAAGGAGAGGTAGTAAGATGTGGGGAGGAGGGAAGCGGTAAGGAAACAGTTGAAAACTGCAGAAAAACTTGCCTGGCTCTAGGACCTCGTTAACTGTTACTTATCATGAGAATGCATGTTGCCATGCTCTTATTTTAAAATAATATCCGTTAGACAAAATGTTATCTCTGGGATTGAAGACCAGTTTACTAAACATAGAGTTACAGTATAATAACAAACAACAGCAGATAAAGAACATCAAAGAATAAATGCATTATGGAAGTTGCAGGGCAGTATAATTATAATAGCTGGTTCTATAAAATAACTTAGTTTTTGAAGACGAATGCAAAACTTTTCTTTAGATCTTCAGCTGTATATAAAATCCTCAACTGTTTCTGCAAGATTTTCAAATTCTTCTTTCTGCTGTCGTTTCCTGCATGGCTCCTGTTTTCCTTTCCTGACTTGACTAGCTTCAGCCTACTAGTTAATAGAACTCCTTACATGCAGTTAATTCCTAATTATTGAGGTAAACCTACCCCTAAGCGTAATATATACTGGGGAAATTGTAAAATGTTTCTACAACTTTTTCTGCTCGTATCTCCTTCCTACTTCTCTCCAAGCCACGTAGCCCTGTCCTGTGAGCTTAGGGCTAAGCACTAGCCACTCGATCGTTTGTGTGTCGTGTTTAAATCAGGATAGTGGACTGTTCTTCAGTACTTTTGTTAGCTTTTGACATGCATCCTTTTGGTAGTTTTCTTGAACGTTGTCTTAGGAATAGCAAAATGTGCTGTTTCATTTTCAATATTAATGATATTTCATTGCAGTATTAAATGATGAGCAAAATTTATTTTAATTACTTTGTTTCTTCTTTAGATTTAACTTTTATTTGGATAGTATAATTTTTCTGGACGAATTACTGCAGTTCACTTTCTATTTTAAATATGAACAGAGGTTTTCTCTTGAGCAAAACAGTTTAAGATTAATAAGATTTGTTTATTATTGTCTTTTATAGGAATGATTGCATAGAAAAGAAGGACAGCCCTGAAGTGTTTTTCTGTTGTTGCGAAGGCAACATGTGTAACGAACGTTTTTTCTATTTTCCAGAAATGGAGGTCACACAACGTAAGTTAATCTAAGATGTTTATGGAGAAACTGCTTAGCAGAGTTCAAAAACATCTTCTGTTGTGCATGTTCGGATTAGACTTTTCAAAATGTTCTGGTCAGCTTTTCCTACCAGAAGGTTTCTAATTCCCAAATGATAAAGAGCTGTGTGCATTCATATAAAGAGCCTGGAGAACTGCATATTCAGTTCTGCAGTTCTGAAAGGTCTCTATACTAGAACAAAATAGTTAAAATTGATAGAAGGTACTTTTTTTCCCAAGCGTAAGTAAGAAAGAAGGATAATCTGAAGTAATTTGATGTTTTGAGATACGAGGATTATTGTCAAATCTTACCTTAATTGTATGATTAAGCTTCTGTAACAAGCTTTAAATCAATGGAGTATAAGCCGTAACATCCATGTATACATGTACCAGCCTATGAATGTTTTCCTCTTTATTTCTTTAAACTAACTGGACCTTGTAGTTTCTCTGTAAATTGACATAGTAACCTTTAAAAAGGGGGAAAAGGTTTCTTCCCAGGTTACAAAAAAAAAAAATCAGCCAGATTTAACAAACAAATGTTTTAAAAACAGTAACTGAAAGTAACTTGACGCCAGTCAAGAATCTAATCTTAGTTGGAAAACGAAATAATTTTAGTAACCGAACAGAAAACAGAAAATGTCTTGAGTACCAAACAGTCAAAGGAAGTTGTTTATGAAATTAAATCACATTTTACGTGAGATTAAAATAGCCTTAATTGACCCAAGTGACATTCCTATCAGGTTTGTCAGTGTTACTGCTAACACAATAATTGACATACTTCGTTTTCATTAAACCTCTTTTTGCCCCAAAGATCTGTAGCTTCCCCTCTGTCAGCTACCCTAGAAGCAGGTTTTCTATTACCTGTTAATGAAATCATATTGTATACATTCCAAAGATTAAACTTCTTCTGTATTTATTCTTTTTTTATTCATTAAATGAAGGCAGTCTTGAGAATCTCTCACAAATACGAACACCTCTTAAACACTGTAGACAGATAGGGGTAGAACTTAACACACAAACAGAATTAGATGTGCAGATCTGTAACTCTAGGGATCTGTTATTTCTGTGCTTTCCAAAATATTGCCTTTAAAATATGTTTCAGATTTTTAGAGTGCATTTTAATCAAGTATTGCTTGTCTATTGTGCTGATTACAGTAACTTACAGAAAAGCAGGATCGTAGATGTTTCAAGCACTGAATGATTTTTGATCCTTAAAGGATATATTGCAGAAAACGAATCATCTTTTTTTCCTCCCACCAGCAACTTCCAATCCTGTTACACCTAAGCCACCTCTGTTCAACACCTTGCTTTACTCATTGGTGCCTATCATGGGAATTGCAGTGATTGTACTCTTTTCGTTTTGGATGTACAGACATCACAAGCTAGCGTATCCTCCAGTACTCGTTCCAACCCAAGTAAGTTGCTGCATTATGCTTTCACCTTTTTTTGAAAGGTAAACCTATGTCTGAAGAGGAGAAGGGGAAAGGAAGTTTGTACCTGTCACGTGGCTGAAGTCAGTGTTACATCCCTGTTTTAAAGGTGTTAATACTTAATTTTCTGCTTTTGTGGCTACCGGGTTTTTATTAAATACCCTTATCTCCTTTAATTAATTGATATTTGATGAATGCATGAGAAGCCTCTTCATATGTTTGCATGTCTATGTTTTTGAGGGGGGAAAAAACTAAACAACACAAAACTTCAGATGGCAAAGACTTAATATTGCTGGACAGCTGTGGGAAGTTTATACTCCCATGTAGTTAAAAGGACTACTTATGTGGAAATTGTCTACAGTTGGTTTCAGGTACTTATGATTGAGCTTTATGTAATGTGTAGCTTAAAAGAAAAATGAAATAGAAAGGCTAATACAGGCTGAACAAGATCATAATGACAATTAGCAGTGAACAGAAAATAGTGACTAGTAGAAGCATAGCTATTAAAGCATGGAACTGAGATACTGATATCATTTAAATGGAATATAAGCAAAATCTGTAATTGAAACATAGTCACTGGGCTTAGCCTAAACGGTGGCCTTATTGTCATTCCTGTCATCTTTTTCATCTTACTTGTTTGTGTTTTGTACTTGTCTTAAACATTACTAAAATTGAGAAGTTTGTGTTTTAGCTGGAAAATTTTAGGATCGTGATCTTGAAATTTGAAATGTAAATTAACCATGCTGGGACAAAGCAAACTTTTTGCTGCAGGTACATAGTTTCTACTCTTGTCGGGTTGCAGGTGATCGTGAAGGTGTAACTACAGTGCTAATACTAGCATCTCCTTTTTTTTTTTGTGTGTTCAGTTGTGTCTAGAGAGTCGACTGAGATTAGAAGGCTGTTATAAAAAGCGTTAAGACTCTAAACCCTTCAGAGCCGAGATAGGAAGATATAGTAGCGTATACAGAGAGGTAAAGGGACTTGCCCAGAGTCAGACAACTGCTGGGTTTTTGAGTGGGAATAGACATTTTGCTTCCTAACTCAGGACAGTGACCTCTCGGCTAATACATTGCTTCTGCTCATACAGTGATTTTTGGTAGGATTGCATTTGAAAAGGGTTGCATGAGTTTGCCCTGGACTGCCAACTTCAGTTGTATTTTTGGTGTTACTGCTTGCCTTCAGGGTGTTCCAGGGAGCATTGTTGCCTGTTGTTAAGAAATGAAATTGTTTTGGTTTCAATTCCGTATTAATAGAAAAGAAAAGCTGGAGTGAGGGGAGGGAACGGCAGAAGTAATTACTTGCCAAATGATGTGGACATAATTTAGAGGAAAAATGTGTATTTCCTGTCCCTGCAGAAGATACTGCAGATACGCAGACTTCCTGCAAATCTATTGGCATGAGCTCTTGCATCCATCAGAATTTTTCTGTGTTTTGGACTTGATATCATCCTGGTAGCTTTCTTTGTAAGATCAAAGTCATAATTGCTAGATCTGTCAATGATTTTGGGATGTAATTTCTCTTCTAGACTTAAAGAAATTAAGTGTTTGTTAAAGTGACAGAAAAGGAGGTAACTGCTAAATGTGTGCTGTGTATCAAGAACTAGAGCTTTGGTGCTTTTCCTCCAATTTGTTGTAGGTCTTCTGTTGCAGAGCTTGTTTGCTGCAGGAGTGGATACATCATAAAATTTTAATAAGTAGGATAATCTGTTTTGTTAATGCTCCAGTTGTATCTGTTGGGATAAATATATGTTGTGTATGGGCTAGTTATGGTGTAATAACACTCGTGGTGAGCAAGCATTAAGGTTTGATGTGAAAAGTCGGGAAAAGCTACTTCTGTTTGAAAAACCTAAAAGAAATTATTATGAAAACAGAATGTAAAAAATATTCTAACATAGGCAGCAGAGTAGTATTTCTCAACGTTAAATTTGATTAGAGCTGATTTGAATAGGAGGGGGAGGAAGCAGGAAGAGAGGGATAAGTATTAGTACTTTTATAAATACCAAACAAATATTTAAATGTTCATATAATAAATATTGTAATAATATTTAATTTATTCAGTAATAATCAAGGCATAATCTACAGGTTTTAAGCAAATGAATTTTTTTGCCGAGTCTTGCTATGCAGAATGATAAAATAGATTGCTCAGACGGGTTATATAGAAGATATTAACTACAAAACAGTGATTTCTGTTTAAGTTATGAAATCAGTAACTCTTAAAACCTTTTATTCTTTTTCCTTAGTTTATTCCAAGAAGATAAAAGGAGTGTTGGGGTGCAGTATGCCCTGGTACTAGTATTGCTTTCACTAGAAATTAGAGGATGGATGAGGAATGAGTAAAAGACAGAAATAAGGAAATATGGTAGAACGATAAATTTTTGAAGAATTAGGAGAAGAAAAATTAAGGAAATAGAGCCGCAGAACATGATATAAGGAAAGCGATTGGAAAAATTTAAGAAAAAAGAGGTAATAGGCAAGAAGAAATGTTCGAGCCTGTCACAAAATATAAAGGATAAACCTCTGAGAAAATGGAAACAACTTTGTTTTATTTTAAAAGTAAAATTGTTTCACAGTACATGCATGTATGAGGCAGGCAGGTCGTACACAAACAGATTCACAGTAACGTGGGTTATCTTGACTTTAATATACCCTTTGGATATATAGATAATTAACCAAGAACTTATACAGTAGGGTTAGTTTATATAATTAGTTAAGTTTGGATTTCTTTTATGTTTCCTTATTGTTTCCTTTCAGGTATTTTGGTTAGATGGAGGTCATGGGGAGTTACTACAGTAGCCAACTACTTTTGAACCCTTGCCAGTGTCTGAGCACAGGTGCAGAGCGTTTGTTATTTTGTTACTCCATTTGAAATATTTTGGATAGGTTTCCCCAAAACAATTTTTTTTCCTCTTTTTTTTTTTTTTTTTCTTTAAGATAGCATGTGAGGTTCCTGTTTGTGCCCCAGGTTCTTAGGCTGATAGGGGTGGAGCTGTCACTGCCACTGCCACTCCCAGTAGTTTTGGGTTACAAATGTCTTCGTCTCTAGTTTATGCTATTAACTTTATGCCTCACTATATTGTCTGCTGTCTAGTTAAAGGAGGCTGTCAAATTTTTTAAAATCTATCACTTGTAACCTTCTTAAGAGTTATTAGCAAATGCAAGTTTGCAAAATGTATCCATATATAACATATTGACTGGATTGGTTCACTTATTTATATTTGATCTTATCATGCAACAAACATGTATTCACAAGTCTGATCAAATTTACTAGAAAATGGGTTAGTGTCTTAAATATTTTGGTCTTTGTATTTTAATTAGAAAGAGTTACTCCTGCTTTGTTAATTTGCAGTCACCAGCACTAAGTACACTAAAAATAAGACTACGGTCTTTGTGGACAAAGGCTTTCACTCTCAAAATTGGATGTGGTTTACATTTCCCCACAGCAGCCAACTAATATTCCTGGTAGAAGTATGACTATGAATGGCCAGGAGCTGATATGCTATGCTCATTTATTTTTCAGATCTCTTGAGCTTGGGCCAGGGATGTCAGCTAATGCTAATTACAGCTGCAGTGTTAGCACTCTCTCATCTGATAGATAGGACCATAACCTATTTCATAGCATAATTGACACAAATAACATGTTTGTTTTCTTTATCAATCCACACAGATCTGGCCCTCCGCATTTTACATCCATAACGTGCGAAGAGAAATTAACCACCCGTACTTTTGTTGAGTGCCCACGTTAGGAGTATCTTATTGAATCATGGAGTTGTTTTGTTTTGTGTTAGCTTTAAAATAAGAGTCGTATGTTGAGAGGTTTGAAAAAAGCTTTACAGGTTTATATAACACTTTTTTCAAAATATGCTTTCTTTCAAAACATTTGGAATGACTTGGGTCAAAGATGCTTCGTGTTTTCAATATCTTAAAGCGCAAGAAAGCCCTCATCTAGGCCTATTAGATAGTACCAGAAACGTAAGCAGTAACAATGGACAGATCCTACTGCTCTCCTTAGAGTGTTCCTATAGGCAAACTTGGTTGCTGGGAATTATCCTTTCTTTTTAATTTCTTCAGAGAGGATTGCATAGTTGAAAAATAGGAATACATATTATACTTTTTAACCTCCTATAAATCACTTCCTTTAACTCTTTACTGAGTATTCCCTGTATTGAGCACAATAATTTTGTATGAGGCTGATTTTCATTTTTCTTTTACCATCTTTATGGAGTACATCCCTTGTCTGGAAAGTCATGTACTAGGTGAATCAAGAATAATCTTAACTGAAGCACGTATTTGAAAGAGATACTGATCTGGTTGTCCCTCTGGTCTTAAAACACCCTGAGGCAAGACCACTTCCATGAGCATCAAAAAAAAAATTCTGTATGATTATGGCTGGTGATGGTGCTCCTCACAACCACACCATGAATATTTTTCTTCGATGTATCTGTTCCTGAAGACACCTAAGTACAACAAGATCTTTATAGCTAGGTCTTGGGGTTGATATTTCAATTTCGGCTTTAAGAAATTAGAATTCAAAGCAGTTTCTGCTGTATTAAAGTAAAATGGGTTTAATAGCAATGAAGGACAAAGCTCTCTAGCAGTGACAGGTACAGAACATATTCTGAATTACTGACTTTAGTCAGTATGCATGTGTGCGGTCAAAAATCCAACTATGTTGAAAAGTAATAGGAAAAGAAGAGATAACAAAACAAGCGCTACTCTTTGCTGCTCTCTTTGACCTCTGACATCGAGTCTAAGCCACCAAACCTGTGTCAAAGAATTTGGTGAGTTGTGTGTGGAACTTGGAATGGTTTGTTTTTAAGAGGAAAGTAGTTACCGTTGGGTGAATTTTTATGGTTGGCGTTAGTAAAGATAGATTATCTTCGTTTATTACTTTTCTCTAAATTAACTCTCAGTTCATCACACCATCTACCTGCTACAATTACAGTTTTGAGACAGTCGTTATCCTTGTGTAATAGAAGGAAGAACACAATTGGCTGCAGAGAAGAATGAAGAAATTAAATCGACTGTTTGGGTTTTTTCCCTTTTTTGTCTTCAATCTGTTTTTTTTTTTTTTTTTAATTGGAGATACTCCTATAGAACCATTATAACACTTGCGGAATAAGAAAGGGGGAAGTGTTTTTCCAAGGAGGTATTCCAAACATAGGAACGTTGACGTTAGGCAACGTTAAAGAGGAAAAACTGAATGATCTTGAGATTTGGACGGCTAGAAGCGTGCATGGCTTTGTTCTGTAGTATTGCGTTTCATCACTTCAGGACTAGTAAGGATTTCTGCTATAATCTGATTCCAGTCACTAGGTGAGATCATAGAGCGGAAGGATCTGATGTGTTCTTTTAATTGTGGTATTGAGAGGCCCAACTGCGATATGAGTGCTTACAAGAAAAAAAATGCATATGTAGGGGGACTGTAAGAGTGCAATAGAAGAGGTATTATAGACAAGGAGGCCTTAAAGGTGTAGCTGGTAAATAGCTGCTAACTGCATCTTTTTTAGCGTTTGTGGGCTATTACATAAGTGGTTACTAAAGATCTTTAACAGAAGAAAGACTGTATACGACAAATAAATGAAGGCTAAGGTACTTAAAATGAGGCATGCATATTTAATACTGTGTTCAGTATAAAACCAGATGCCCAAGTGCCTGGTTCTAGACCTTGATAGTTTTTATTTTTAAATTAAAAAATAATATCCTGAATTCTTAATTTACTTCTGAAATGAGCTGTCGCCATTTAAGTAAACCCCCGTTGCAGCTGTATTTTTAAGTCTTTAACAGTTAATAAAATACAAACCCAGACATAGTGCCTTATCCTAAATGGCAGCCTAGAGTGAGCTTTATACTTAAAGTACAGTACAAGAAAAATTCAGAGAGAAATGTTTCAAATGTATTTCTGTAGTGAACTTAGAGTTGTTTTGTACTTTTACTTTGATTCAAGCAGGGCATTACCTTATAAACTATATGCTTTTAATACCATAACTTGCTTCTGACTTAAGAAATTGTTTTAGTTTTGGGAATAGGCCTGTACTGCATAGCTCTGAGAGACTAATGGGAGAAGATGTCTTCCCATGTGATAGGGGTGCCTGTAGACAGTAGTTTGTGTCTCATTCTCATAAACGTTGACCGGGCATATGCGCATTAAAAACTGAAAAAACATGGAAGCCTTTCTGTAATCCGTTTTTTAACGTGCCTGGAAGAATCTTTCTCTGTTACTTGTTCATTTAAAACAGCGATATTCAAAATAATTGACACTGTCAAGACCACCTTTAGACCTTAGTTTATGCTAGTGCTGTGTTACAACCATGCGAAAGTGGAAATATGGATTTCTGTGAAGTTTACAGTCAGGTACTACCTTCAGGAGTCTTTTCGCAATTGTCCAGTTCACTGCATAGCCTCAGATGTGCTCTCATGCATGTTTTAATCTGCCGTCTTTCAGATCATCTTTTATATATCACTAAATGTGTGAGAATTGCGTTCTTCACAAGGTATACAAAATAATTCTTTTCACCTTACTTCCTTGGAAAAGATTGAGGGACTGTCAATGAATATGTTGATGTCGTATTTAGGACACTAGTTAGGAACAAATCGAGGAATCACTGCAACACATTAAAATATAATAATTTGCATTTAGTGTGAATGTGATATTCATATAGGATTTTGCGACATGCTTGAAGTTCAAAATATGGTTGCGGATAGTCCAAATTTTGGAGAAGACTGTACTGCTTGTGGCTAGTTGGTTACAAAGACCACAGCCATCTCCCTGATCCTGCACGTGAAAACCTTAGAATTGTTTTCAGCTACTATGAATAGAAAGTGTATGTGTTTATATACATTTGTGTACATGGTGACTATTTTGTGGGTTTTTTAATTACTCTTTTATTTATAAGAGCTGTATTAATTCCTCAAATAAACCAAGAAGGCATATATTTGCATTTCTGTGTTAGTCAGATAATGCTTAAACCGATGTTACTTGCATTTCTAATGAAAAGTGTGAGATGGCGGTCTGTAGTCTGAAGGGGAGGACCAGGATTTTAAAATCAGGAGGTCTGTGATATGCATAGATGTCTCTTTGAGAATTGCTGTGCGTTTCTGACTTATTAGTGGTTTGGCGGTGTGATCCCCATAAAGGAGTAGTAAAGGGCTTGGGATAGGACTTTTTTATTTTTCAGAGACTCGTGTTTATGCTTTTTCACTGTGGCAAGAGCAAAAGGACTGGATTTCCCTATTTCTGAGGAGTGTACACAGGAGCTAGAGAATTTTAGTAGCAAATAGGCCTGGAAAGTGACACTTTGTAATACTTTTTTTTTTTTTTTTTACAGCTGCAGAAAAAGTTTGTTGAGTAACTATTTCATACAAACCTTTTTCTAATTTTTGTAAATTATTGTTGTCTTTGACTTCTCGAGTTAGTAGAACTGTGACTAAACAAAGATGTCTGTTGTTCTGTTCAGAAGCCGTTCCCTATCAGAGTCACAGGTTATTACTTGCTTTTTGCTTTGCTGTTTCAGGCAAAGGGATACGGGGGTGGAGAGGAGCTGCCTTCAGCGACTGTGCTGCTCGTGGGTTGTGAAGTTTGTGCTGCAAAGTCTTATTTGTGTTTTGTGACGCGTACAGGGAATGGCTGTCCTTCTACTGAAGGAGAAGTCACCAAGTCACAGAAGGATTTGGTGGTGAAGAGGATCAGCTGCTTCCTTTCCATCCCCTCTCTTTTTTTTTTTTTTTTTCCTCCTCTTAATAAAGTGTCCCAAAACACTTGCAGGCTGTACGAGTGCTGCTCGCTTCCGTTTCGGGCTCTCAGGGTGCGGGCCAGCCTCATCGCCAGCCTTCTGCTGGCTGGTGGGGAGAGAAGGAAGCAAATGCCGGCGGGCTCCGGTGGCGCTCAGTGCTCCGTCGGTGACGGCAAGCCCTGCTGCAGCGTTCATAAAGCTGACTCCAGCTAATCCAGCGTGCAAGAAATTCTTCATCTCTTCTATTATTAATTATTGAGATAACCCTAACTATGTGCTAGACAGTTTTCAAGCACAGAGAAAAGCATATTCCTGGCTTTATGTTATGTATAGTCTTAGGAACGTGAAGACAAAGGGTGGAAGAAAAGGACAATTGCTGTTGTGGGGCAGTTGAATACCTCAAGCATTGGCGTTTTCTGCTGTTGCACCAACTATCTGATCAAATTATAAAGCTCAAGGAAGATGAGTGAGGCAAAAATACCGGGGGAGGGATGAAGGTGTCTCAGAGCTGCTTCTCTCCTTAAGTGGCAGCGAGGCTGATAAAGAAGGGATGTAAAGGTAGAGCAAAGAAAGTTGTCTCATTAAAACATGTTTTAAGTTTCAATAACAGTGCTCTGGGACTTACATGTTTATGATGTATTTCATTCAGCAGTCCGTAGATTCATGTGACCTGTTTGAAATAGTCTTAAATACTGTAATGTGCCTTTTATGTGTGCTGGATACAGTATTTGCAGTTCACATCTTCTAGTTGCACCTCCAACGTGCCAGCTTTGTTGATTGAATTTAGCAGCGTAGATCTAATATACAACGACCTATTTGTAAGGTTTAGTTACAACTGAGGCATTAAACAGTTTTCATTTTCTGTAGCTAGTCACTAATTACAGTGTAGTCCCTTAACTTAAAAATAACAACACTGCCCTCTACTGCACACTTGTGACTATAACAGGAGATAAGTTTGCATAACTTATATTTGTATATATGTTTAATTTTTGGCATGTGTTTATATACTGTATTATAGTAATGTGACTGTTTAGACTCCTGTAATGGACAATTCTGTTTTTGAGTTGTAAGATGAATTCAACTAATGATCTGTATTATACTCTTATTTTTGCCTGTTTTCCTTTGCCAGCATATTAATGATGGATTTTTTTATTTTAAATTATCTATTATTAGTACAAGAAAGTATTGCTATCCCCATGAATATTTTTGTTATTAATTCATAAACAATTTGTTTTGTCTCTTTTCTTATAAGCTGTTTTTTCATCCCATTCTTGATATATAAATAGTAATTTCTTTTGCTGATGTTTGTGTTTTTTTTCCCCTCTCTGCAAGCACGCCTTTCATATAATGATTGAGGTAAGATGCATTGATGTTTGTTCATGGTTACGGAACTTTCTGTGGACATGTAAGAAGTTGTTTTTTGGTATGAATTACACTTTTTTTCTTTTCAGAGTTTTTGGACCAGAAACTTGTAAGCATGCTTGAGTTTTTAAAAAAAAAAAAAAAAAAAAAAAAAAAAAAAAAAAAAAAAAAAAAAAAAAAAAAAAAACA